GCTTCCTCAGAAGGTTGGAAATAGAAATACCTTATGATCCAGCAATTCCTCTACTTGGTATTTACCCACAAGAAATACGAGCCATGACACGAGTAGACAGATGCACACCAATGTTCATAGCAGCACTATTTACAATAGGAAAAAGATGGAGACAGCCAAAGTGCCCATCAGCTGAAGAATGGATAAACAAACTGTGGTACATACACACAATGGAATATTAGGCTACCTTGAAGAATAACAAGGAGGCTGCAAGCCACCGCATAACATGGATGAACCTTGAGGCCATTATGTTGAGTGAAATTAGTCAGTCACAAAAGGATACTGCATAGGACCACTACTGTAAAAGACTAAGAAAAAGAACCCATACTAAAGGGAAGCAGGGATTCTTTGCTGGCTACTGGGATTTAGGGGGTGAGGTGAGGGGAGGGAGGGGAAGGTGGACGACAGGGAAGGGAATATATACCAGATAGTTTGGGTGCTAGGGAGGGGGGCAATATACAAGAAGGGGGAGGGGAATGGAAGAACAAAGAGGATGGGAGAACAATTAGGCAGGTTTGCATGAGCTAACTGGAACAGAGGTAAATAATAATGTATGCACAACTTTGGAACAACAGGGCTCTGGGATACAGGGATTGAGACATGGTAGGAATGGGCAAAAGGGGGGAAATAACGTTAAGATTCTTGGTTGTCTTATGAATCTTGGTTTCCCTGGCATACCATTATAAAATAGACACTGGAGGGGGAGAGAAAGGAATAGCCAGAAATATCACCATAGAAAGCTTGTAAGTCCATCTTCCACCTATAACTGATTGGAATACCTAAAATGGGGCTACAACGTGCTCAGTGAAGGAGGCTTCCTATGGAGCCTCTGCATTACATAAGACCATAGGTGGAATCCTGAACAGCATCCAGAATCTTCAGAGGTGGGAAATTTCTACTTGAAAGGACAAACAGACCAGCCGGGAGCAGCTAGAAGAACAGAAGATACTTCTTGAAAGAAAAACCAACAGGAAAAATACAAAACAATATAGGCAGATCGACTGATTACTACAAGAACAAGCAAGTTGTTCACCCAGGAGACATCAAAGGAAGTGTTCAGGTCCCCTCAGAACAAACCCCCTTCCAAGACTAAGACTCAATAGGAATACATGGTCTGATTGGTGACCACGTTCATCACCAATAAGAGAAGTGAGGGAAAAACAGTAATGAAGCCGCAAGCTAAGCCCTACAACATTCAATAGACTCCTGTGAACCCGTGTGGAGACCTGCTTGGCCAGCAGTGTGGCAAGACCTGGGGACTCTTTGGCCCAGAGTCAGTGACAAAGCCACAGAGGACTAGAGTGGAGAGTGAAGCGTCCAGCTGATAAGAAGAGAGGGCATATATATATGCACAAGAACACCCACATTTGCAGATAATATCCACTTGACTGGATGATCAGAGTTCAACTAGAAGAACAAGGAAGAGGAAAAAAAGAGTAATCTGATACAATTTGATGAACTTG